ACTGAAAAGATATTGGTTAAATATAAACTCAGAGTAATTGAAAAACCTACTAAAACTATAATATTTACTATAATACATCAAGTTGCAGACGTATGACTCATTTCGACTTCGTTTATCATATTCAACAAACAAATACCTCTGTCAGAGTATATAGATGGTTGACCTAACTTAAACATAAGTCATAATTACGAGGTACATGTGGCTTTCTGGGACTGTTCAGAAAACAAAGAAATATCACTTGCCTACTTACAAAATAGATAGTAGTCAGAGTATGTTCAGAAAATTGATTTATATCTAAACGAAATCTTATAGGTAGAAATGAACTAGTGTGAAGAAAATGTCACCAACTGACAAGAAACATGGTTGAATAAAAACAGAATTTTTTACTGATCACTTTCAGTAAAAGTATAATTACGTTGGTAATAATCATCGGTAGAAAAATTTAATTAGGATTCTGGGATAAATTTGAGGAGTAAGTCAAAGACAAATGTGTAACTTAACAATCTTCACAACCCCATAATGCTATTGCACGTGCTAACTAGTGACTAGCTCCGTGAGGAATCTTCGAATTCTAGTGGGAAGTCGTGATCAATCAAGTTCAACCTGTTTGGGTGTAGACACTGACTACAGAAGACAGTATATAAGGTTGAGCAAGACCGTTAATTGATCGAAGTTAGACATTAACACCATTATATAACGACCCAGTGGTTCAGAGGTTAGGCGTTCGTGCACAAGACCGAAGATCCTGGGTTCGAATCCTATGAGATACGGGAGTTGTGGATGCGCACTGCTGAGGAGTCCCATACCAGGACGAAACGGCCGTTCAGTGCTTCCAGGTTTCTAATAGTGTTCTAACATTGATCGATTCATGATTTCAAATGTGTAACTTAAAAATCTTCACAACCCCGTAATGCAAAGACAAAATTGTCATATTAAAGATCATTTCTTGGTCAAATGATGATTAAAACAATAAGCAGAAATAATTGATGATTTTGAAACTTTAAACGAAATATTGACACATTGAAGTTTATTTTCATATTCTTCTGGTGAATAAGTCTCTTTATGATAAACAAAATTACTAATCAATGCTTAGATTGACGTAAGTTTGATTAGAACGCAATGCTTCCTAGTTACGTTACTAGACCGATTGAATTGTATGGTGAATTTTGAAAATTATTCTGTTATGCTCGTAAATTGATATGCTTGAAATTATCACGAGTTCACTTTAGTTCGTAAACGAGAACGAAGACAAACGATCCAACGACACGATAGGCTACTCTAATCTGAACGTCCCAAGGCGCCACTGTTTAGAGGGAGAAGTCTTGACAAGATGTAGAAGGTGTATTTTACAAGAACCCAGTAAATATGAGGTTTGACAAACACACAAATTGAGTTTATTTATACATCACAGAAACGTCCTTGGGAGAGCCACAAAAATAGTCTACTAAAATAACGTATGCAACCAGTGACAGTCAAGGATTTTCCTGGTGGGAAATGTTATCTCAAGGTCAACTGACCAGCCTAGGCGCAAAAGCATAAAACCTAAAATTAGGACCTTTTCCAAGTGAGTTCTGGGAATCTAATGTGTGTAACACATTTTTAAAAAAAACTACAAGATTATCAACACCAAGTCTGTTTGCTTACCATTGCTCCAGACTCCATATCGTCATCACCAAATGCTAAGGCTAAATTACTGACAGCTTTAGTCACATCCTCAATGGTCATTTTTTCATTGTACACGAACCAATGATGAGCTGCTTCTGTACGTGCACGTTCAATCAGAGTTCTTGCATCAGCAACAAGGCCACTAACAGCGCATGCTATCATATGGAGGGATGAAAATATATAAGGATTTCACAGAAAGATTAGTTGAGTAGTATAGTGAGGATAAGAAATCTGGAATTACAACTTGTTAGGGGGAGAAAATTAGGTTGAAATTCTGTTAGAGTAAATTATCCAATGTGAATGCAATTCACCAAATTTCAACACTCTTTTTTTTCGACATTTTGAATTAACAACAAGTCATTCAGTGTAAATATCCTCAATGTATTTTGACTGTTTTATAATGGGTGAACATCAGAACGCTTCATTTGTGAATATGATGTTTTTACTTTAGTTAGCAAGGCAAAGAAAAGAAGATGATAGTTTTGATTACGGTATTGGAGTAGGAGTAATGAGATTACTAGCATAGTAGTGCATGCACGTATGAATAGACGATGAGGATGGGATTTCGGAGCAAAGAACAAGAAAAACTATTTAAAATTCATATCGACCAAAGATAAGGTTGATGAAAAATAGATCCTACCAAACTAGAATTATCACTGGAGTATTAGGTAAAACGGATTCAGCCGGTAACAATTCATTATTCAATACGCGACATAGATGGATGTATCAAGTCAATAATGAACGAAACTGAAAGTTTTTAACTGATATTAAGATTGTCAATCACGAAGAATTCCAGTGAAACACCATTTCGAAGACGTCATACTTGTTTGCAGCTCATAGTTATAAATATTAGAATGCTACAGAGTAGTTTGGATAGAAATCCGAACATGACAATAAACTACAAGGCAAATAGGAAACAGATATTAGTCAATCGCTAAGTCAGTTACAACGTAGAACTTCGTACGTAAGTACAGCAGTTCAAGTTGCCAAACCACATTAGCACAGAGATATGATTGTCAATTCAAATCCCATAGTAGTAGAGGTAGTAAAAGTATTAGAAGTAATCGGAGGGATTAGGGTTCCAAGATGTTATTTAAGAAGTATAATTCAAAGAAACAAATTTAAAAAGAGTGAGATAAAGGTGATGAATTCAGGTTAGGATTTCATAAAACACAAAGAGTAAATGTACCTGCGCCATTGCAAACGGTTTTCAGCCATGTCATTCAGGGTCTCTAATCATCGATTATTATCATCTCGCGGACCCCAAACAGGTTAGCGACACCTACCAACATGACTCAGTCCACATGTTAGTGAATTTAGGGATTTGTGCGATGTTTTGGTTTGGTCTTCCCTAGCTTTCGTCCAACCTATTGCTGTATCGTAAAACAGCTCGACGAGGCAGTCGGTGGTTAGGCATATGTAACACACGTCCTAACCACCTCCACTGATGAAGCTTCATTACTTCATCTATTGACCTGCCATCCTTAACTAGCACCCGTTTCCTAACACTAGCATTGCTTACTCGGTTGTCCCACGATACATGAGCAATGCCTCGAAGATAACTATGATCTAAAACCAGTAACCTACGAATATCTTCTACTCTTACCCGCCATGTTTCGTATCCATATAGGAGAACGCAGTGAAATGCTGCACAGTGCATTCGTCTATTGGTTAGCAAACGGATATCTCGCCAACGCCATAAATGACGCAAGTCGGCTAAAGCCAAATGAGCCTTCTGTATCCGTGCTGAGATTTTGACAGTCGCAAGGCTATCAGCGATGATGAAACTCCCAAGATAAGTGAAGCGGTTGACATGCCTGACTACTTCACTCCCTATCACTAGTTTAGGTACTAATGAAATCCAATCTTGAAGCAACATTTTGCATTTCGAGGGTGAGAACCGCATCCCGAGCATGCTTGCATTGTTGCTCAGGGTAGTCAGAAGACTGTGCATTTTGTCAGAGTCTCCACCGAACAGAACTATGATATCGGCATATTCTAGGTCAATAAGCTATTTAACTGGTAGAAGGTATGCTCCTGAAAATTCAGACGAGGATAAGGTTACATCTAGCAGCATGTCTATGATAAAATTAAACAAGAATGGAGAGAGTGGATATCCCTGGCGGACACCACTTGAAGTAACGAATTCCGATGACAGTTTGCCATAAGCCCTCACCCGACCAGTAGTCTTAGAGTAGAGAGCTTGTATAAGGTTAATGTACTTCTTTGGTACATCTTTTACTGACAGACACTGCCACAGAACCTCACGATCAACTGCGTCAAATGCCGCCTTCAGATCCACTAAAACAACTATTGTAGGACGCCTAGATGTGTGTCCGTGTTCCAGAACCTGTCGTAGAGTGAAGATGTGGTCTATAGATCCACGTCCAGGTCTGAAAGCAGCCTGGTTTTCTCACGTCTGCTTTTCACGAGCTCTATTTAGGCGTCTAAGGATTATCGGGGCTAACAATTTAGAAACTATATTAGTTAAACTGATTCCCCTGTGATTGTCACAAGAAGACTTTTGTCCTTTCTTGTAAATTGGGACAACTAGGGATTGAGTCCAGTCGGATGGGATTGTGTCCAGTTCCTAGATTCTACCTAAGATTTCAGTCAATTTAGTTGCTAAAGCTGGACCTAAATCCTTAAATTCTCAGGAGTTAGCCTATCAGGACCTGCTGCTCTACTTCGCTTCAGATTTCCTATAGCTTTCTCAACTTCATAAAGACTAGGAGGTCTTACATTGATTTGCTATTCAGGATAAGTGCGGTTCGTGGGCAACCGAAGTGTGGCTGAAGGCCAGTTGAACTGATCCCTAATGTTCTGCCCATCGATCCAATCTCCTGGATTGAGAATGGATAATAAGTCCATCCTTCCCTGAGATAGTTTCGCTAACAGATAGATTCCTAACACCGGGTTCCTTTATAAGGTGGAACAACTGTCTACTGTTGCCTATCGCCGTTGCCTTTTCCATCTCTCCCGTTTTCGCCACCCACCACTGTTTCCGATCATTCTGTAGGCTTTTTATCAGCCTGCGGCTAAGCTGACTCCGCTCCTCATCGCATTTAGAGCCAGGTTGGATGAGTTTTCGAGCATCCATCAGTTCGGTAGATGCTACTGAAATCCACGGCTTCTCCCTAATCTTGTGGTTTACCTTACAAGCAGATATCACTGCTGTTTCCACAGCCTTTTTGACATCATTCCAAGCTGCCTCAGGGCGGGTATCACTTACTACATGGCTGCCTAATTGTTTTTCTAGTTGTTCCTGAAATATATTCTTAGCTATGCTATCATTAAGTAGAGCCCTAACATGTTTCCTTGCGATATTTTTCTTGCGTCCAGTAAGGCGCAAACAAATACGCGCTCGCACTGGAGCATGGTCTGAGTCTTAACAAGTGCTCCAGAATGAGCCGCAGTCTTCAACAGAACCTCTGAACATATGGCTTATAGCGATGTGATCTAGTTGAGTCCATCTTTGGGTCGGCTTTGGGGGGCGCCAGGTCAAAGCGTGTTTTACCTTATGCTTGAAGTTAGTGTTTGCTAGGAATAGGCGGTTATCTGAGCATAGCACGCAACATACATCGATCACCCGGGATTCCAGAGTTCTAGCTAATGAAGCCTGTTGCCCTATTTGGCATAGAGTCCAAACATTAAAAGCTCCTATATGTAATTTAGTATAGGGTTTCGAGAGACCAGTGATAATGTTTCGTGAGCTCATACCGTTTGCTTCAGTGGCGTCAGGTGATAAACGACGAGGAGGTTTGTTTGAGGAGATAAGAGAGTTATTAAGAGGAGTAGAAGGGATTTGATTGTGGCCGATTTGGTCTCGTGTGCTTTTAAGGGTATGAGGGTGGATATCACTTCCCGGCTGCTCACACCATGGATGGGTGTTTTTCTTGAGGAACCTGAAAAGGAAGGTAGATTAGTGTCTGTCTTAGAGACCTGAGAGTGTGACTGCAGAGTCCAAGGGAAAACTGCTTGAGGCCGGTCACGCACGGCCTTTTTATGAGAAGTTTTTAGAGTATTAGCTCCGCTCTTAAAAGCCCTTAGTGGACACCCTTACCGACGGAGAAGGAAATCCGTTAGGTAAGGTGAGGTATGACATTTTGCGGGTCGACCTTTTCTAACCATTCCTTCCTTATGAGAAGGTAGCATAGCTGCAGATGCTGGTTGTCCGAGGGAAACACCTTACTGCTGTCACACCACTCTACGGTTAGCCGTAAGACTTCTCCCTCAGACCTTGAGTAGCTGTTTTTTAGTCTCATTGTTTTCGAATCGACCTGTCTGGCATGGTAGAACCTACAGAAACATATGTTCCAGCCAATATAGCTCGGTTGAGTCATCACGACAGGCAAGTCCAACCACCACGTCAATGTAGCAGCTACGGTCCGCTTTTCTACTGATCAACCACCTTCGTATTTACTTGAGTACTCATTATAGTACTTTATTTATTTAATATTCAATTAATTTCTAATCGAAAAACACTTCAGTATACCTTTATCGATTTTGGAACACAAGCATATATAGAATACGTATTTATTGTCCACTTATCGATATTATTATGTTTGGTGGACAGTGCTTCGTGCCCGAAACGGTCGAGCACCACTGGTCGTGAATTCTTACGGGAACTTGGAGAGACTTCCTCACGAATCTAGTTACTAGTGAGCATATGATAATTTTCGTTATAGGATTATGGAGAGTGTTGAATTTCTCGAAGTGAAGCGTTCGCATACGAGACCGAAGGTCTTGTCACATTGTGGATGTGCAGTGTTGATGTTTTCTATTCTGCAACTAAATGACCATCCAGTGCTTCTAGGTTTCTAATGATGATCTGACATTGATCGATTTCATGATTTCAATGAAACTCACCATAATCCTTTAATGAAAAGAAGATTATAATTATGATAAATTGGTTGAATTTTGACCGGAAAAAATACGTCACACTCATCACAACTCCATTTTCAAATTATGTAAGTTTCCTGGAAATGCATTATTACTCAAGAAAATAGTATGGATTAATGAATTTTTGTTTAGTTCTCATCAGCTGATTACAACTTATATTATTGTAAAAATCATAATGATCATAGACATTGACATACTTTTGATTACGAAGTTGATTACCGAGATGTATAATGATTTTTGCAAAACTTTTCAGTCAAGTT